GAGAGAGAGAGAAGGGGAGAGAGAGAGAAGGGGAGAGAGAGAGAAGGGGAGAGAGAGAGAAGGGGAGAGAGAGAGAAGGGGAGAGAGAGAGAAGGGGAGAGAGAGGAGAGGGGGAAAAAAAAAAAGGAAAAAAAAATAAAAAAAGAAAAATGTTTTCCCTAATACCTGGTGGGGGTTGGGGGCAGGGATAGCAGAGGAGGACCACACTTTAAAACTTTAGCCAAAGCAGACATGGTAAATTATTCTTTCGTTCCCCTATTTATGAATAGCTCAAACAGACTTAATTAGTTTAAGTTGTCCAAATTTTAAAGCTTATTTTTGACATGCAAGCATTCCCAGCAGGATGATCAATCTCCAGTTTGTCTGGTGTAGTTAGTTCAGTAACTCACTTAGTATTGTTTTCATTTTCCCAGTTGCTGATTTATGCAACCAACAAACACCAAACTGACATACCAAATTTTTCCTGTGATGATTAGCTACATAAATTATCCAGTCATGGAACAGGAACAATAGGACAATATTTAAATAGCCAACACAAGATAAACTTCAAATTATGTAAACAGGTTCCTAATTCATGTAGAAAGTATGTCAAGTTTGCTTTAAAATGATTCCGAGCAAACTGCTTGGTATTTGTCATAGCTTCACAGAAAAGTGCTGTCACGCTTGCAACCCAACCTGAGAACATGCCTTGCACAATGGACTCCTGCAGCCACGAGGAGCACTTCTTGGAACAAAGATCCTGCATAGACAACAGGATAGCTCTGAAAAGCAGCTCACCCCTTTTAAATTGAATTTTGAAACTAGCTAAAACTAGCCCACGCTATTCAGACAATGTTTTCAAGTGAGCTGGTCTTGTTTGTCAAAAACCAGAAGTGTTGCAGCACTTCAGTGGGTTGGGTTTTTTGTTTGTTTTTAAATATAATAGGCAGCAAGACAGGACCTTGGAAAAAACAGGGAGAGGCAAACATCGAGGACTGGAAATAAGAGGGAAGAGAAGCAAAAAAGCTTCTTCTCACTCCTGTGAGAGAGTTAGGTGCTAATGGTTTGCAAGCCATATTTACGTGGCATAACAAAAAGTCCTCCAGACACACACACTCCTTCCCCCCATCTGCAGTAACCTCTCCCACATTTAACATACAGCTAAAAGACTCCACAGGAGCCTCTCTGAATTTGAGAAAATGGATTTGACAGGAAAACTTCTAGAACCGTTGCTCTTTTTCATGCCCCCTTAAAAAAAAAAAGTGACAAAATACTGTCTGAGAGCCAGCAGTTTCTCTGTTTTGCAAACAAGCTCTTTTGCTGAAGTAAAACTCGCCATCTGACTAACCGTAACCTACCTAGCAAGAAATGAGTCAACGGCAGAGCCTGCCCTTTGACCCACTCGCTTAGTGTGTCATATTGATTGACACAGTAAGTTAGTGACACAAAGCGGGTTTTGGTTAAGCAGGAAACCCAGTGTAGTACAACTTCTCCTCATTTAAATGAGCTCATTTAAATAGGTGATCAGCCCTCTGAACTTGCAGCAGGTCTCTCTGGCCCGGCACAGAGCGAGCAGCAGGAAGTCATGGCTAGAAATCTCGCACTAACCCAGCTGATACTTTTTACTAGAGCAGGAGCCACGTTGTTGCTGTCAGGGCT